GATTCTTCCCTAAAGAAGTTGTTGACCTATGGGTAACACAGTGTGCAATGCTAATGCCAGGCCTTTGGGACTCAATCCTTCTAGCTTCATCCCACACAGGCAAATGACTGGGCACACCCATGGACCAAACATCATTATGTACCCATGGTACTACAGACACGTGATTTCTACTTACAGTACAACCTGTGGCTAAGGCAAAAATAGGCCACTCTTAGAATGGTCTGACCTGTACCCAGAACCACAATAAGAAATCCCAGGTAACATAGTTTCGTAAGACAGTTGTCAAAAACAAATAATAAAGGCAGAATTTCAGGGAGATATACACAGGGGTCCACGACGTTGGGAAAGCCTACATTCAGGGCTTCTGCCAACTTGGGAGATCTCTGTCTGGGCAGGCAGATGACCATGAGCAGCTCTCTAGTGGGGAAGCCCAAGCTGGTAGCAGATCATATCTTCCACTGAGACTTCCATCTTTCAAGGTCAAGGCTATACAGTATAATTTGAATAATACATATCTAAGTGTTTGTTCTTACTTAATAAGAAAAGGCACCAATGAACTCCTGAAAGGATTAGAAGACAAACTTGGTCGAATTTGCCAGTTTCCTAGGATACAGACCTGTACTCCCTGTCCAGAGGAGTAGTTTAGGAACAACAAAAAAGACACCCAGAACTCTGTGTTTACATCCTACCTCATAACTGTATTCCCACATGCCTTGCCTTCATCCCCCGCAAGGATTAATATGCAGGAGGACTGCTCTCTGCAAAACCACAGTGCAACCTTGTCTTAGTCACTTTCGCTGTCAGAACACAATACCTGACACCCACAACTTAAAGGAGGAGAGATTTATTTTGGCTCACATTTGCAGACCATGATTGGCTGGCTCCAAGGCAGAAACAGCATGACAGAGGGGCCTGGGGTGACAAAGGACAGCTGCTCACCTATGGCTACCAGGAAGCAGAAGGTGCAAGAGGAGCTGAGGAGAGAAACACACCCTTCCAGGCCAAGCCCCCAGTGATCTGCCTCTAACCAGGCTCCACCTCCTAACCGCACATTCAGCTCTGAATACATCCATGGATTAATCCACCATGGATGAGTACAGCACCCCATAATCCAATCATCTTCCAAATGCCCCATTTTTGAACATATGAGGCCTTTGGGGAACATTCTACCAGGAGATCTAAACCATAACAAAACTGGAAGTTGAAGGACTAGGCTCAGTGAATCAGTCTGAGTCAACCTGTAAATCACAACTCATGTCCCTAAGTCCAAATACTGGCTCTACGATGAGTAGTAATGCTTTCCACAACACAGGGCATGTTAAACTAGCCAAACACAGACATGCTATCTAACTTGGTAGCCAGTTAGAGTACAGTAATAACCATACCTCCAATATTAAAATCATACCAAATAAATATTAAATCACCTCTAGCATGGACTCATAGAATATTAAAACTCAATACATTTCATTAATTTCATGTAGTATCCTTGTTTATATAAAGCTTAATTAACATAAATTCTTTTAGATGATAATCTTTTTGAATCCCTAAATCCCATTTTTGGTTATCAATTTCAGGCAAATGAAGGAAGAAAACTAAATAACTTCAACACTCAAACATTTAGGCAACTTTGGACTAATGGAAGACTTCATAATACATTCTCTTTTCTTTCTCCACACTCTGACTTTGAGGGAAGGTTTCTGAATGATAAACTAAAGATGGTACAAACTCCATGTAGCACAACTCAGTGGAGTCTTGGCCAAGAAGTTTTCAAAACAGTAATGTCAGACTTTATTAAAGAACTTAAGGATTTTTTTTCTTTTCTTTTTTGCTTTAACATGGCATTGGTACCCAACATCCCTTAAGTGGACCTAACCAAGTGCAGAGAGAGAGAGAGAGAGAAGGAGGCGGAGAGAGAGAAAAATATCCAGATAAAAATACAGGGGAGCAAGTGAGGCATGAGGCATCTCAAAGAAATTTTGTTAAAATTTTGTATTCCCTCCACCCAGATCTTATTACAAAACACTTTTGGCAAAGTAACAGTTTATTGTTACCTGCGACTTTGACCCTAAATTCTCAGGTGGAGTGCACCACTTTCCAAAATTAATTAGTTCTAAGTAACTTCCAATAAAGAAACATAAGACTGGTTTTTTCTATCCCCTTAAAATCCCAAATCAAGTCTTGGGTTTTAATATACTGATACGAGGCTATGCAGGGAGGCAGTCTTATTCTACAAAGCAAATTATTCCAAAACTTTCCGCTTAAAACAACCATTAAATTCCTTTGTACATGATTTTGTGAATCACAAATTGGGGATGGCATTGCTGCAGATCTCTCTGACAATTAACAGCTAGGCCACAATCATCTGAAGGCCCGACGGGGCTGGATATCCAAGATGGCACACTCAGTGGCTGGCAGTTAATACAGGTTTTTGCTTTGGGGCTCAGATGGGGCCAATGGCTGTAGCAGGCACCATACATAGCCTCTCTGTGGAGTCTGGACTTCTCACAGCATGGTAGCTAGATTCTGAGAGTAAGTGTTCCAAGAAACAAAAGCAGAAGCCATGTGGCCTCTTCCTACCTATCTAACCTTGGAAGTCACTCAGTGTGGCTTCCACTGCATTCTAATGGTTCCAACTGGATCACTGAGGCCACTCGTAAGATTCAAGGGGTCAGGAATTGCTCTTTCAGTTTGAAGAGCATCAAATTGTCTGTGGCAAGTTGTAAAATCTGTCACAGTGCCATCAGAAATTATTTCCCCCAATGCTGAGGATAGATAGCCTGGGCTATCAACAATCCCACGCTCTCCCATAGATATTGTTGACTAAAATCACTCAGAAGTGTTGCTTCAATACCACCGTAGCACATTGAGAACTAGAATGGCTTTTTAAGGTTGGTACCCTCTTCACTCTGGAGCCACACAGCATCTTCATAGCCACAAAAAAAGATTCACCACTCATACTTTGCCTTCAGTAGGAGTGGTATTCAAAATATTTAGCAAAGGCATGGCATGGGCCCTAAAATTAGACTGGATGGCAGCTACAGACACTCAGTATCCCACGGTTCTCTAATTGCTCTTGGCCATAAATAAGATGGTCTTCAATAACCTGTAGGATCCTAGGGATCAAAGGCATCTTAAACTTCTTTATTATTTCGCTAGTACCTGTTAAAATAATCCTAGATCTGTTGTTTAGTACCTTGTCATCCCTGGACAAGTTACTGAATCTTTCTGCAAAATGTGTTGCTTCTTCTATAAAATAGAATAATGGTAACCTTAACAGGGTTGTTATGAGGCTTCACTGAGATAACATTAGTAGGGTTAAGATAAAAGGATACAACATACACAGCATAGTAGTCAAGCCTACTACAAGAGGATGTGGGAAATGTCATGCAGCCATGCACCTGGTGATGAATGCTACTCTAAGGGAAGCAGAAACTGGGTTCTAATAGATCACTTGCATTCTCTGCCATAGTACTGAATAAATGCAAAGTATCATGGTTATCCCTTTGCTGAGCAGCCAGTAGGTATTTTCTAGTTACTTGAATGATTGAGTGGAAAGAAGGAAGAAGAAAGAAAATAAATGTTGCAGGGTAGAAATAAGAATAGAGATGAGTGTTGAAAGACGGTTATGTGAAAAGGTGGCACACAGTGAAAAGTTTAGAGGGAGAAACTTATGCCTGATACAGGAAGAGGTACTACAACTGGACTCTGATAGAAACACTTCACCAGGGTCCCTAAGAATACACACAAATTAAGTCTATGACAACCACAGCACCCAGACCATTGGAGAGTCTCATTGTAATCATCACACTCAGAGTCACCAAAAAATCCTCTCTTGTCTTAAACTCCAGGTTGTTCTAAGTATTTAATCTGAACTAATTTGAATTCTCAGCTTCAAGTGGGTTAAGGGCCTGAAGAAAAAGCCTGCCACTCTACATCTGAGGAGTGTGCTAAGTTCTCGTTGATGGTAATTAGCATCCAGCTTCTTTACTTTGCCCATACAGTATTTTCAAATCAATTGCTCAGCATTAGTGATTCTGTGGGGATTGATTTAATAGTCTAATATGAAGTCTCAGCCCTTCTGTACAGGTTAATTACATGTGGTCTTATACATTCTAATTTAAAATACTGCCTTTGCAATTATCATCAGCACTAAAACAGAGCACTAGTAATGAAGCTAGGCTTGAATTTTTTTCCAGAAGTAATGAATTGAAAAACTGAAATGAGTTTAATTTCTTTGGCATTTACCATTTCAATCTCTCTTCTCCTCTGTAGAAAATATAAATCAGAGTCTCTTCCTCATTTCAGACTTAGGGAAACAGGCAAGATTGCCTAAAAGAAAGCAAAAGCCTTTGATTATGAAACAATCAAGATCTGACTGCATGGATTTTGACCAACCAGAGGGTTACCTTCTCCTGCCCGGATTTCCTGATTATGGATGTACTTCAGTGTGAATTTATGTAGTTGACCAACACTAACACAGTGTTTAGTCTGCTGCAGCTATCGTTCTAGAGCTTTATAACTATTAACAACCATACAGATACTATAATAATTACCCAGATATAGTAAAAAATTACTCCAAAATTCCCCACTTAGAACAACAAACATTTAATATCTCATAGTTTCCATGGGTCAGGAATTTAGGAGAGGCTTTGGTGGTGTTTCTGGCTTAGAGTCTCTCACCAGGATATAGTCAGACTATTGGCCAGGGCCACAGACCTCTGGACTAGAGGATCAGTTTCCAAGCTCACTCATGTGGTTTTCAGCAGGCCTCAGTCTCTTTATAAGATACCTGAATGTCCTCATTACATGGCATCTGGCCATGTAGTGGCACAAAACCAAGTGATCTGAGGGATAGGAGAGGGGGAGGAAAGGAGGGAGGGAGGAAAGGAGGGAGGAAAGAGAATGACATAAAGACAGAGAACAAAACTGAAGCCACAGTACCTTTTATGACCTAATACTGGAAGTGATGCACCACCCTTTGTGCTGTATTCCATCCATACCGCAGAAAACCCTCGTATAATAAAGGAAACAACTGCTCATGGAGGTAAATTCCAGTAGATGGGTATTATTGCTCAGCCTGGCTGCCACAAGTAAGTATTATCATTATTCCTGATTCATATGTAGATGAGGCAATTAATACAAAGATAGGTGAAGTTACTTCCTCATGGTCACTATTAATAAATGATAGACCCAGACTTGAATCTGACAGGTCATTCTGGCTCCAGAATCCACTGCTCATACACAAAAAGATGTCCACTCATTTAATTTAACACATGGTTCAAAAGCAGCTAATAGGCCAGCTCTAAATGAAGAGCTGATGGAAAATCTTTACCAGGGATAAAAGCTCTAAACAACTCATTATTATTAATTTTTTTTATATTAAAAACCCCTGAATGTCTCCTGGCCTCTGTTGTGTGAGGTAAAAGACTCCCCTTCCCAGGAATGCCTTACTTTCTTAGAAAATCAACTTAACAGCCCTCATTATCACTAAATCCTTTTAAAATATTGTACCTCACACTACACTGCTAACCCATTTCTCCCTGTTTCAACTCCTGAGGAGACAAGACCCCTCTAATTACTGTGCAGCAACACTGCTTGTGTTCAAATCCCATTCTTAATCACCCTCAGCCTTCACATCCAAGGGCCACACAGCCCAGTCCCTCCATGAGTCCCTGTTGCAGCCCTAGCTTTGGATGTACATCAGCACATCCCTGACACGTGGACCAGACTGGATCACAGACCTGAGTCAGAGAAGACTTGAGCATCCTGTAATCTTCCATTGAACTAGCAAATGGATTTTGCTAGCCAGGACTCTAGGCCCTTAGAATATATTATTTCATTTAATTATCCTTATCCTATAAATATAATAATGATAACAATATCATACTTCATAGCTAGAAAAAATTGAAAGCTTACCAGGTGCCAGATTTTATGCCTGTCAGGTGTTTCATATACATTCCTCTCATCATCACACAAACCTGAGAGGTAAATTTAATTTTTGTTCCCATATGTCAAATAAAGATTCTGAAGCTCAGAGAAGTTAAATGACTGGACCAAAGTCACATGGAGCCAGGACTCAAACCTGGATGTCTTTCTGCAGAGGCCATCTTTCCACCTCCACCAAGAAGTACAAGGGGCCGCTCTCCATTTTTACACAGAGAGCTTGGTGCTACTCCTACTGCCGTGGGGCCTCTCATTTCATACCCAAGTGACCAGAAGTAAGTTTTCTAAACAAAAACAATTCCCTCCCTGGAAGAGATTCTGGAGCCAGGTGTTAACGTGCCCTTTTTAAACTTTCTCCCCTAGCAAATAAAACAATATGTCAGGCGTTCGTAAGCCTTCTCAAAGGGCCAGCTAGTAAATATTTTCAGCTTTATTTCTGGGCCACCTGGCCTCTATTACAACTATTCAACCCTGCTATTGTTACAAAAGCAGCCATGAACAATATGTCAACTAATGAGCATGGCTGTGTTCCAATAAAACTTTATTTATGGACACAGAAATTTGAATTTTATATAATTTTCTCATGTCACAAAATACTATTCTTTTGATTTGTTTTTCAGTCAATTAAAAATTCAAAATCTGTTCTTTTGCCATGACCATACAAAAACAGATGGCCATAGTTTGCTGATTCCTGCAATATACAACAAAGGATGTCAGAAATTCTCCCAATGAGTTGAGTGATGGAGTTTATCAAATCCATAAAAAGCCAATTCTTGAGCAACATATTGTCTAGTGGACTTTTTCTGAACATAAGTATAGAAAGTTAAAATCAAGAGGATGAAGTAATTTTTCACTTTTCCTATGTTCCTGAAAGTCTGGCGGAGGGGTGGGATGTGCACTCACCAAATTATGCTTTATGGAAATCCAGAGATTTGAATTTCCACCTTCTGTCTCCTGTGTTGTTATAACATAAGTGCACCCTGTTCTCCTCTGGATCCCACACCCTTCTTCGTGGGCATGTTCCCTACATGGCAGGTTTCGACAAATGTTAAGAGTGGGGGAAGGGGAGGGACAGAGGGTTGGAGAAAGGGAGGAAGAAAGGAAGGGAGGAAGACAGGGAGGAAGGGAGGGAAAGAAGGAAGGGAGCAGAAGGGAAGAGGAATGGAAGGAGAAAGGAAAGGAATGAAGAAAGAAGGCATAATTTAGACTATTTCCTCCCAATTGTTTCCCTAATGTAGTTCAATAATTTATTTAATAGAGAGCTGCTGTCTCATAAAGTACAATCAATGATTCACTCCTTATCGTGTTTGAGAAATGTGCTATTTCCAGAGATACTACCTTCACTTCCTGCTCAACTACCTTTTATAATAATAGGGAAAATTATTTATATCTATCAATATGTCTAGGGAGACATGTTTTAGAATTTTAAGACTATCGAAATTGGGTTCAATTTTTTTCGCTCTAGGCCTTCAGCTGCCCCTGAAACACAGGTTAAGATAATCAGACTCCTTCAATACACAGTACAAGTTCCTGAGACAACAGGAGCAACCCCGCCAGGCACCAGGGTTTCAGAGGGTAGGAACTGTCTTCTTCACTTTGGTACCTTGGGGACCTGGCACTAGAAAGCATTCAATAAATGTTGGTGGAATGAATGAAAATTAAATGAAGGAAGTGTTTCGCCTGAAGAGAATTAACACCTATTTTCTAACAAAGCAACAGCACTTGAACAAAGGGGGTGTTTCTGGAAGATAAGAGACACCCGGGAGAAGTGCAATAATAAAGGTGAGTGTTGCCAAATGTCAGGGCCAGCAAAACCAGAGGGCTCTTCCTGTGCTTACAACACACACCTCCCCTTCAGGTGACTTGACGATGATCCAGTTAAATTCACAAAATTTCCAAATGAGAAAATAAAACCGTAAATTGCCCTAGGTTCAAACTGAGCTGAGTTAGAATTGACATTTTTTAGAACAGGGAAAAATACGAATCAAAAGACCACTGTCATATCAAAGTTGGAGCTACAGTTGAAGTCATGATTTTATTTAGCAAAGAAAATTAACCCAAACCACTAACATTACACAAATAATAAACACTCTTTCTGAGTAAGCGTCTAAGTTGTTTCTTTAGCCAACATACAACTCACTTCAGCCAAAATGATCTGATGCTTTTCTATCCTCCTAAACTTGCCTAAAGCTCAATCAGTTGTCACCAAATAAACACAGGTCAGAAATGGAAGAGTCATTAGGCTCTCTGTGTGTGGATATCAGTGCAATTTCCCAACCAGGGCATCTGCAGGGCAAGGAAGGAGACTTTTTAATTAGGGAGAGGACATTTGCCCATGCCAATGTTTATCTGAGCACAGTGCAAATCTTCCCCTGGCCAAGTCAGTCAAACCACCTTGGCAGACAGACAGCATCACCCATGAGGTCATGAGGATCTACCATGCAGTGCTGGCACTCCCATCACCTCTGGGGTTTGGCTTTGGGAGACAGGGCTTTTTTTAAAAAACAGGCTTTTTAAAACTTCTTCCTTTATAAAGATAAAAAATACATGCCAGTTTCTAACTGTATGATCTGAAACAAATTATTTCATTTTCTCACAGTCAGACTATCCTTCTGTGTGAGTCAGCTTTCCAGTATTATAACAAAGCACCTGAGAGAATCCCCTTATAAAGAGGAAAGATTTATTTTGGCTCACAGTTTTGGGGGCTTCAGTCCATGATTGGTTGACCCCTTGCTTTTGGGTCTGTGGCTAGGCAGCACATCATGGTGAGGGGCATGTGATAGAGCAAAGCTGCTCATCTCATGGCCAGGATGGGAAAACAGGAAAAGGAAGAGGCTGGGGTCCCACTATCCCCCTTAAGTGTGCACTCCTAACAAACAAAAGACCTCCAAACTAGGCCCCACCTCTTAAAGTTTCTACCACCTCCCAACAGCATCTCTCAAAGAATAAACCTTCATCACATGGGCCTTCAGGGTCACTTATGATCCAGACTGTACCAACTTCCCATCCTTTGCTTTAGACACCATATGACTGAGATCTAGCCAATGGAACATGGGTGGAAGTGGCATATACCACCTTCAGATTTGGCCCATTCACATGTGATCCTGCATATTCTTCCACCTCCATCATTTTCTTGTAACCAGCACAATCATCTTGGAAATCATGAGCTGCAGATGGGAAAGGCCTGGGTTCCTGATGACTTCCCAGATAAGGACCACCAACCAATCATGAACACTATTTCATATGTTGCATTAGTTTGCTAGGGTGGCCGTAACAAAGTACCACAAAGTGAATGGCTTGAACAACAGAAATGTATTACCTCACAGTTCTGGAAGTTGGGTGTCCAAGACCAGGGTTGGCAGAGTTGGTTCCTTCTGAGTGCTGTGAAGAAAAATCTGTTCCATGACTCTCCCCTAGCCTCAGCTAGTTTTCTGGAAATGTTTATCATTCTTTGGCTTATAGAATTATCATCCAGTTTTTTACTGTTATCATCACATGGGATTCTCCCTGCCTGTTTGTATCTGTGTCCAAATTTACCCTTTCTATAAGGACAGTAGTCACACTGGATTGAGACTACCTCATTTTAACTACTTTCATCTGCAGCAACACCATTTTGTAGGAAGGTCACATTCTGAAGTAGAGGGGTTAGGACTTCAACATGTGAATTTTGGGAAGACTCAAACCATAGCAGATGATGACATGTGTTAAGTCCCAGATTTATCTATTATAGGAGCTAACATTATATTAACTAAAACAAATAAAGTACTAAGTATAGAGTATACAGCATGGTGCTATACAAAGAATATATGCTCAGACAGATGGTGGCTACTATTATGTCCCCCTCACCTCCATAAGCCTCTTCCAAAAACCAGTCCTTAATTCTACACTCACAATTTTGTATTCATTGACCTCCCTCCAAAAAAGCCTCCAGAATTATATAATTCTAAGAGTCCTTAGAACCTGGATCTACCCCACACCTTGATCTATGTCTTCATAACTTGCTCACTAAACACTCATGTCCTAACAAGTCACCCACCCTCTAATCTGTTCTACAAATCACTGCTAAGATAATTTCTCCAAATTCACATCATTTAACTGCTCAAAATCTTCAAGGGCTCATTCTGTTTATAAATCCGAAAAGCATTTAATAAGCACTTACATGATAGGAGTTGGGAATATAATAGTGTCTTGGTTACTTTCCTCATCACTGAGACACAATGCCTGACATCTATAACTTAAAGGAAGAAATGTTTATTTTGGCTCACATTTTAGTCCGTGGTCAGCAGGCTCCGAAGAAAAACAGCATGGCAGAAGGGCATGGTGGAAGAAAAACTGCTCACGTCATGGCAGCCAGGAAGCAGAGAGAGTCAAAGGAGGAGCCAGGAAGGGATATACACCCCTCCAGGTCATGCCCACAGTGACTCACCTCTCCTGATTACCTCCCTTCCTAACAGCAAGTCAGCTGTAACACCACCATAATCCACTCACCTTCAAAAGTCCTACCTCTGATGCATGAGGCCTCTAGGGGACATCTAGATATAAACCATGACAAATAGTATACAAGCAAGTCTTTGACTCTTAAGGAGCTTACAATCCAGTGGAAGAATGAATTAGTCAAAAATGCTGCTCCAACATGCTATATGAAAAGCAACCCCACAATTTGAGGGGTTACAGTAGCATTTAATTTTCTTCCTTATAGGTCTGTGGGTTGGCTGAGATGAATGTGCTGTGTACTACAAGTCAAGTTTGGGTTTGTTTTGTACATCATGGCTCTCTTTCTGGGGTCCGCAGCTGTCCAAAGCACTCTTTCCTTACAGCAGGTGGCAGAAGCCCAATGAGAATGAGTGCCAGACCCAGCATTCAGGTATTTCCTCTCACATGCCTGGGGCAAAGCAAATCACATAATGTATTAGTCTACAATGGCTGCCACACAAATTACAATAGACTTGGAGGCCTTTAAAACAATGTGTATTTCCTCAGAGTTCTGGAAGCTACAAGTCCAAAATCAAAGTGTTAGCAGGTTTGGTTTCTGAAGCTTCTCTCCATGCCTCACTTACAGCTTCATTCTCCCTGTTTCTTCACAGGGTCTTTTCTCTGTATTTGTGTATTGTCCTTTTCTTATAAGAACACTAGTCATGTTGGATCAAAGCCCACCTAATGACCTCTTTTTCTTTTTTTGGTATTAAATTCTTTTACTGGTACATTGTAGGTATACAACACAATTACATTTCTCATTGGGAATTGTACCTTTACATAATGCATCTTGGTTCTTATT